CATTGACAGATGGTATACTTATCATACAACACTAAGAAATATTGCAAATTTCAGTAACTGAAACTATTAAGCAATTGGCTTCTTTCTTTCAAAAATGAATTTATAGATTAAACTATGATACTTAGGATGAGGGAATTCAGAATTCACCTTATCAAAGACCAATCCAAATACAAATACTTTAAAAAGCATTGAGAATAGCTTCAGGGGTTTAAAGTAAGAACAGAGTACTAATCAGTAATAACCAATGCAAATCGGGATTTTTTTTTTACTTACTGTGAGGACAGTGCAACCAGTGTCGAATAAGATTATCTAAACTGTGGAAAATAATCACATTTTCAGATGTGATTTATGTCCACCAAAGAAACAAGATTGAAGGAGATTCTCTGCTGCAATGGTAAAACATACTGTTGCAAGGGTAATTTGAATATCTGGACCTTTGGTATTTCAAAATACTACTAAAGGAAGTGGAAACCTGAAAATGCAGGTCTCTAAAAGACTAAAAATACTGTACAAAAATAAGAATTAATTTCATTTTTGGTTTTGCTTGGAGAGAGAGAAAGAGATAGGGAGAATATGAAAGTGTTGTGTGGGAAGTACTCTCCTCCAATGTCATTTCCTTTTTCATTTAAGCATTTTTAAGGCTACCAATGCTGAATTATTTAGTCACAAGTCTACCAATCTGATCATCAAAACAAGTTAGTTTTCATCAGTGACAGTTGTTGGAATATGGAACAAATTGCACATAAATATCTTAGGTTTCAGATGTCAACCTCCTAGCTGCAACATGGTATTAAGATGACTATAAAAGTTGTATATGCATGCTGGTATCCAACTTTAGATATGAATGGCTGTGACAATTGGTAAACTTATGCTTGTTTACATAGATCTTAGGCATATCACATTTCACAAACATCTTTGGTCCTCAAGTCCACCCATTGACTCTCACAGCTAGTGCTTCTGACAATTGAGGTGAATCAAAAAATCAGAACAGAGACTTCATTTACCTCCTGTCAATGCGGCTTTCTTCCAACTGGTGCTTTTACCTGGATCTCCATTGTTTGGATGTAGCCAAGGCTAAACAGAGAAAGAGCCATTGGTTGCTGAACCAGAATTATTGGATTAAATGTTAGGCCATGAGAAGCATTGGCAATCCAACAAGTTTTTGTTTACCTTTTACTGTTCCAGCAGCCACCACATTAGGGAGCTGTGTCTCCATTTTACAGCCTCCAGATGTGTCTATACCCCTAATATATAAAATGAAGCATTAAAGATCTAAATAAACTGAATTAAAAGTTCAAACAGACTTCAATGACTAAATGTTTCTGCAGTTTTGTATTTTTGTATTAATATCTGGAATTGAATTAATAATAGTTTACAACTTTTCATCAATACTTTTAATACCAGAGAATTATCATTTTGAGATAAGGGTAAAGGAGCTTATAAATCACTTCTGATGATATTAATGTCCAAACACATTTGTGTGATATTCCTCAGTCCCAGTTTATTGTAGGAGTTAACCAATTATTTCAAGTGGGAGGAATGCCACCTCTAAAAACAAGGTACTGAGGAATGTCAGACAGCCATAATAAACACTTGTTCGCTAATATCATCAACAGGGATTTCAGCCAGAGTTGCCATCAATAAACTATTTTTAGTCTTACATGGCATGCTTACTCTCTCAGTGTTTCAGTAGTTAAATACATTGGCTGTTATGTTGAGCAAAGCAGACCATACCTGCCCCAGGTTTGAATGCTGGCCTGAGCTATTCTTAGCCAAGATGTGGAGGTGCTGGTATTGGACTGTTCTCAGCCAAGACAGCTTTTAGTTTGTGTGCATGTGTGTTAGTGGAAGGAATAGTAAACACCCAGGGTTTCTATACTAGACCATTTTTTAATCTGGAAAATGTCTGTATATATTTGAAGCAGCAGCTGCTAATGTTACATCTCTCCCAGTTTTGATGTACTGAAGCCAGTAAAATTCCGAGAGAGTTAAAATTGGCAGCCGACCCATTTTACAGTATTGCAAAGAAGCAAATAAACCGTGCCTATGGATATCTGGTGGGTACAGAATCCTGCTTAGTTGTGGTAACTCTTGATCTGTTAAAGAATAACCTCTTGGGAAAAGGACTCAAAGTTAACCATGAAAATGTAACCCAGTTTGTGTGAGTGCTTTCAGGAGAGAGATATAGAAAGTTGCAAAATAAGAGGAGGAAGATGGGGATCTTGCTCTTTTAAAAAACTCACAAACACATAACTTTTTAGTCATTATTTTCACCATTTTCTGAAAAACAATCTATTCTCTTAAGAAATAAATAGAAAAGGAACAATTAATTTTTCATTTGGAGAGGACTTCCCTTCCTCATCCTTGTAGAGCTAGAACACTGGGAGCTAGTTTATTTCCACTGTGTTGTTTAAGGTTTCTACTGGAGAGTTTGTCAAGCACCTCCTTCTTGAGAAAGCAGGCATTGTTTGTTTAAACTGCAATAATTTGATGAATTAAACAATGAAGATTGTTTTTCTTTGTGTTCTTCACTTGTACTGATAAAAGTAAAGTGACATCTTTAATAAGTTCAGATATTCTGTTATATTCAATTATCATGGTAAAAGTTACGAACAATGATAATAAGCGGGTTATGATAGCCCACAGACAATGCCAGCCTCGGACACCCAGCCTGATTACTCAAACTTCAGTGGTTTGACCTTTTATGGCCTTGTTGTAATAAACCCAGCTCTTCAACTCAATTGTTAGCAGTATGCTGTGAGCCTTGGAAGAATACTTTTAAAAATCTAACTTTGTATCTTGGGAGAGTTCCAGTAAACAAGCCATTCACATCAAACAAGTTTTTTTCTCTGGCAACGTAATATTTTCGTCATATTGAAAAGATCAGTATTGAGGTTAAAACATTAGCATAGAGCTAATGATTCACTTAATTATCAATACTCTCACATAACCTCTATCATTGTCTCCTGAAAGAGACAAAGGAGGAAGCATCTCTCAGTTTGTTTGAGTTGAGAAATGTAACTGCACCCTGTAACTGAAATGCATTCGCCAAGAACCCCAGGTAACATCCAGATTTGGGGCTTTTACTGCTGCACTGTATATGGACCACAGAACAACTCATAATCCTTTCTTCTCTGCCATTGACAATGACCTTCATATTTATTTTAAACAAAAACAGAAATTGCTGGAGAAATTTGGCAGGTCTGGCAGCATCTGAGAAGAGAAATCAGAGCTAACATTTCGGCACAAGTGACTCTTCCTCAGAAAATTTATCTTAAATTAACCTGTTCAGACCTGTTATGACCTACTTTGGCAGGTGGGACTTGAACCCAAATATTTCAGCATTGAGACAGGGAACTACCACTATGCCACATAGTCTCTAGCCCGAGTCATACGTTATCCTCAGTTGGCCATACATGTTTTTAAAACAATATGCAATTTTCCTCTCAGTGGGTATGAGTTCAATGGTTCGTAAGATTTTCATGTGCAGACCTTATTAGAAACAGACAGCAAGCTTCCCACAGCAGTGAGTTTGTGTGTGTGTGTGTTTGTGAGTGAGAGAGAGAGAGTCGGGTGTGTGAGATATGAGTAAAAGTGTGAGTGTGTCTCAGAGATGGGTGTGTGTGTGAAAGAGATGTTAGTGTGTGTGAGACAGACACGTGAATGTGTATGTGTATGTGTGAGAGAGAGAGAGAGACGGGTGAGCATGTATGTGGGGGTGTGTGTGTGAGAGAGAGAGACGGGTGAGCGTGTATGTGGGTGTATGTGTGAGAGA